TTTATCAGGCTATTTGTTCATTGCACTTCCTTATATATTCATTCTAAAGGAAAGTAAATACTATGTTCACATGATCCTAAACAGTTGGTACATTTATAAATAAAGAAGTTAGCAGGTAAATGCCAGAAAAGGACATCTAAAAACTTCAGCTCTAGCTTTACAAATTAGTATTACTAAGACATATCCTTGGTAACAGTTTCAATAGAAGATGTTAATTTATGTCCCAACCTTAGTGTAGGACACTGGGAATAAAGACTATGAAATCTCATCTGCACAGTCAGCTCTTATTTACGTGTGCCAAAATAAGGGGGAACTGTTGTAAGTAATGCAGATCTATGTGTACCTTAATTTTTGTAAAGAGTCAAATTGTGAATATGCATGTGGATATTTAGAGTTTGATCTTTCAGTGAAGGTTATACTCACAACTTACAAAATTTAACATAATTTTAAATATTCTAATTTAGTGATTTTCATTCTATCAATAATTCTACTGTGCTCTTTTATTTTTTATTTTTAGTTTTAAGATTTTATTTGTTTATTTGACAGAGACACAGAGAGACAGAGCAGCAGGCAGAGGGAGAGGGAGAAGCAGGCTCTCCAAGGACCAGGGAGCCCGACGTGGGGCTTGATCCCAGGACCCTGGGATCATGACCTGAGCCTAAGGCGGATGCTTAACCAACTGAGCCACCCAGGCGCCCCTACTATGCTCTTTCTAAACAAATACCTAAAATAAGTGTCCAGTGGTGACAACTTTCTAAAATAATATTAACTAAAACACTCCTAAAATTAAAAATCTAATCTGTGAAGTTATTGATGTGAAATAATAATGAAATTTAAGAACTACACAAGAAAATTAAAAATTCTTAAAACCAAAATCTGAGAAATTCTACCCTTTTCACCCTACTCTCATCAGAAATTAATATAAACTTTTTGGAATTGTAGGGGCGCCTGGGTGGTTCAGTCAGTTAAGCAGCTGCCTTCCCAAGGTCCTGGGATTGAGCCCTGAGTCAGGCTCCCTGCTCAGCGGAGAGCCTGCTTCTCCCTCTCCCTCTGCCTGCTGCCTCTGCCTACTTGTGCTCTCTCTCTGTCAAATAAATGAATAAAATCTTTAAAAAAAGAAAAAAACTTTTCAGAATTGTAATTTAAAATACAACGAAGTTTAAAACTAATTAATGGCAAGCTATGATTACATTATACATCGTTTATTTTATAGTCCTACTTAAGAATGTTTACCTAGTGTGAAATTTTTTTCTATATTAAAGGAAGTTTCAATGTGAAACTTCATAATTAACAACTGGTCACTCCTTGTCTTTATTTTATTGAAGTATAGTTGATACACAATGTTACATTAGTTTCAGGAGTACAACAAAGGGAGACTGGACAAGTTTATAAGTTATACTATGCTCACTATAAGTGCAGCTACCACCTGTCACCATACTACCTTATAACAATACCACTGATTATATTCCCTATGCTGTACCTTTTATCCCTGTGACTTATTCATTCCCTAACTGGAAGCCTAAATCTCTCACTATCTTTCACCCATTTTGCCCATCCCGTCATCCCCCTCCCCTCTGGCAACCATCAATTTGTTCTCTGTACTTATCGGTCTGTTTCACATATTTCACATATAAGTGAAATCATGTGGTATTTGTCTTTCTCTCACTTATTTCACTTACCATAATACCCTACTCCCTGTCTTTAATGTCCTCGTAACTCAATGTCACCCAACCCATATGCCTGTGAACATACTAAAGTTGCTACCCACCACATGCCCATTCATATGGTCTTTATATACATTTATATGCATACGTTTTGTGACATAAAGAAATTAGATGAATTTCAACAAGCCATGTAAAAAACTGATCATCTCATTTTATAGTCCCTTTTTTCTCTCCCAATGGTTATCTTCATGTTCACTAATATCCAAACCCTGGCATTCTCTTTTAATCTCATGATTTCAAATAATTTTTTTTAAATGTAGAATACTTCCAAATCTCTATGTCTTGACCTGTCTCTCCCAAGGTCCAATCCTATATCTGCAACTGGACATATCCCACAAGCCCTTAAAACACATAATGTCTCAAAGTGGTTTATCTTTCCAAACCTATTCTTCCTCCTATGCTTATTTTAAGGGTACCTCAAACTTTGTGGTCACACAGCTCATCTTTTGAAACTTAGCTCATCTTTTTCTTTGGTCTCCTCACCCCCACCCCCACCCATTCCCCACCCTAATCCAAAGCTTTACAAATTTTAGCTTTTCTAGTGCCTTGCCCTGGAAGTTCAGCTTTCAAATTCCCTGAAGCCACTTTTCCACTTTAAATCATCTTACCCCGTGCTGCAGCTCTGTATTATTTTCAGAGCCCTCTAGTCAGTGGCCTGTGGGCAATGGGGCAGAGTGAGGGTTTTATAACTGGATTCTTCTGTTTTTTACTTTTTGGCAAGAGGACTAACTTGAAAATGGGCAAAACCATTACACAAAAACATGTATGCCGTGATAATGGCTGGGTAAACATTTTCTCTGGCTAAAGAAGCAGCTCCAGATTTTTGGTAATGTTTCACTTTATGTCAATCAGCAGGGTTAACAGAAAAAATGTGGATCTTGAAGACATACCGATATAGGCTCATTTCTAAATCTCATTTGTTTTACTTTTCTGAAGCTCCAGATTCCTTGTATTTGAAATGAGAATAACAATAAGCTACCTCCGTAAGGTTAAAATTAAATAGGGCTCATAGGTATCTGACTTATGCTCTAAATATTTGCTAAATGAATGAATTATGGTCTCCATTCTGGAATACCTCTTCTCCTGCATCTTCATCCAGCTAACTTGTACTTATTTTTTTATACCTCTGTTGCAGCCATCCTGAATTTCCCTAGAATGACTCCTATGTCCCACTTCTGTGTTTCTATGGCTCCAGTGCCTCTTTATCACATACTCTGTAATTACTTATGTCCTGGTTAGTCTCTCATTATATTTTGGTAAATTCCTTGATGATAGGGATCATGTGTTATTTGACTTTGTATCTGCAGCAAATAGGTGTGGTTCCTGGCAAACATCATCTACTATTTCAATAAATACTGAATGAATACTTTTTTTTTTTAAAGATTTTATTTATTTATTTGACAGAGAGAGACACAGGGAGAGAGGGAGTACAAGCAGGGGGAGTGGGAGAGGGAGAAGCAGGCCTCCCGCGGAGCAGGGAGCCCGATGCGGGGCTCGATCCCAGGACCCTGGGATCATGACCTGAGCCGAAGGCAGACGCTTAACGACTGAGCCACCCAGGTGCCCCCTGAATGAATACTTTTTATGTACAAGTAGCCAAAGGCCTTGTACCATAAGCTTTACTAATTTTATTCCAAGTGCAAAGTAACAAACATACTGGAAAAAAAGAAAAATTTAACAACCAAATATCTACAGCAGGTATTACAACAACAAAAATATTAATTGATTGAATTATACGTAATTTAGGGTGACAAAAATACAGCCTCTCTACATGAAGAGAATAGCTCATTCTAAGCACTTAAGCTGTGCCTAACTAAGCGATCTACAGTTATTTAACCCAATCTACCCAACTCCCTGCGGGGTAAATTTTGTCTCCATTATTAACCCTATTTTATAAGATTTGGAAACTGAGCACCAGGAAGATTAGGTAACCCCTGTATCACACAGGTAGTGAGCTGTGATGTCAGGGTTCCAACAAGTTAGGACTTCCTGACTCCAGAGCCTCAACTCTTAACCACACTACACTGACTTCCTAGCAATTGCAGATGCCTCAAAGATGCTTAATGTGGTACCCTGACCCATGACGACTAAGGTTATGTCTTCCCCCAAAGTATGGGAAACATTAAGTCCATTTCCCCATCAGACCGAACTATGAAAGGTTTACCTACTAATTGTGTCTTCGAAGTATATGTACGTCATTGAAACTCTGCACAAGGTTTTCTTCCCCATACTTAAAAAACTACATTTTCCCTCTGAATAGAGTAGCATTTATCTATCTATCTAAGCTTTGGCTTTCTTTTAATATTAACACACAAAAATTTTTCCTATTATGGCCTGAAAACCTAGATGTTTAAGAACTAAGCCATCAATTCCAGTAAAGCCAGAAAACAAAAAAGGCCGCATTTATAGTCTTGAGGTAAGGAGATCCAAATAAGACAGTCCTTGAACACTCAGGAGTCCCAAGTATGCAGAACTGCTGGAGTGTCAATCACTTAGGGAAACACAAGTACCTGACACAAAATACTGACAAACTGGCTTCGGAGTTCCCTTAAATAGCCTCTAAATCATTTGAGACCAATTACCAATTTAACGCTCTAAGGGGCCGCCTTGTGGACTTCCAACTAGCAACCTGAAAGATGTCCAGAACATGAGGAAGAAACCAAACTTCATGGAAAATGGAGGCGGTGGGCGTCTAACTTTAAACTAGCAAAACTGGGACTCTGTGGCCATCCTACAGAGATTCCCCGACCTTAAATTGCCTCTAAGTATTAACAGTCCGCTACGGTTTTGTTTTTTTTTTTCTCCCAATTAGGATACGTGGACTTTGCCTTATTTTATTAATAAACAGATACCTTCTTAGTAGCATGATTCAATGATGGACATTGTGGTTCCTTGCATTTAAAAATCTCCTCAGGGAGAAAAAATACGCAATAAAGGGCAATAGCTAGCACGTATATTCAGTTCCAAATCTTCCAAGCCGAAGAGGATGTATGAAGTATTACTTAAAAGCATTTATTACCGTGGGTGTGCTGGGTGGCGATGGCCAAAGTGCTGATACAGTTAATGGAACTTGCGAGACGGCGAGCGGTTGGAGTCACACTACACGCCTGAGACCGCAGTCAGACCACCCTCAAGCCAAAGCTCGCGAAATGGCGGCCGCACGTCAATCTGCCAGAAAGCACTACCCACTGCCTTGGACACGTCACGTCACCAGGGAAACGGCGCTCTTGCGTAGGGGCGCGGCCCTGGGTGAAAGTTCAGAGCTGGCTGAGATCCTCCCCGTCGCCTCGGTGGAGGCCCAAAGCGAGGCCAGAGCGGGGGAGACTCCCACGACCCCTAATCAGGGGAGCGTGGGCCCACGCCTGGAGTGAACGGAGCGCGCCTCTTCCCCACCTCCGCCTCGCCTAGCGGGCGGGTGGGGAAGCGCCCCAGGGCGAGCACAAGCCGAGGGGCGGGGCGAGTCGAGCGCCCGAACCGCCCCCGAGCGAGGTCTCGGTTCCGCGGCGGTGGCGCCCGCTAGAGTTGACGTTAGCCATGGAAACGCGGAGAAGGCTCAGGCGCGATCGCGGTGAGCCGGTTACCTGGCCACTAGAGCTTCTCTGCTTCTGCGTTCGGGTCGCAGGCAGCCTCCGGGCGGGATCGCCCAACCCGGGTTTACCTGCAAAAATGCAGTTCCCGGGATTCCTTCGCATCGCCTCTTTCCTCGGGTGACTCGAGGTACGTTCCTTCCCCGACACCCACCTGGGGACGTCTTGGTCACCTAAATTTCAAAGCCTATGCAGAGCCACGTTGTTCTGGCAGTTTTAATTGCCACAGATTTCTCGTTCTTCGTTATAAAACCTTCAAGTGCGATTATTGCACTTTAGACGGAAGGTGAACTCAGTGGCTGGAGGAATCAATCCAATGTGACTTTAACTTTCTTTCAAAAGACTGATTTAGCTTGTTGAGTTACAGCATTTTGTTTCTAAGGGACACTTGCGAAATGGAAAACGGTCCATTGAGTCTTGATTTAGTGATGTCCTTGTTACCCCAATAAAGTGTACAAATTGCAGCCCTTAGACAGTACTGTGCTCTTTCCTTACCTCCAACTAAACCGCGTTTGCCCCAATTTGGTCAACTTCTGGCCCCTGAACATGATTAACTCTTCCCCCGCGCCCCCCATCTGCTGCCTCTTTTCACAACTGTCAAGGACCGATGTTTACATCAAGGAATCTACAACATCAGAGGTTATTTATCAGATCTGTGAAATGATTATCTGCTCTTTACCCATCATTTCTCTTTTATTCAGCGATATATAATATTAGGTGGATTCTTGTTGTGTGTGTGTGTGTGAATCACTCTTACAATTAGGGCAAAGACCATCCTTTATATTATTGAGTGTCCACTACCACCCATGTCAAATCTCCAAACCCTTATCACAGCATCCAGAGCCAGACTCATGACCAGATATTGCCATTTTAGTAATTTAACTGCGACATTTGTCAGCCACTCTTAAACTTCCTACTAGTTATTAACAGACAGTACCGGGTTAGGGAACTCTTCTGTTTCTTTTTCCTTTGTAAGAACTTTGTTGAAATGGAGTTCACATTCCATACAGTTCACTCATTAAAAGTGTACAATTCAACACCTGAAACTAATACACTGTATGTAACTAACTGGAATTTACATTTAAAATTTTTTTAAATGTATTACAGATTTTAAAAAGTGTACAGTGGTTTTTAGTATATTCACAGAATTGTGCAACTATTACTACGGTCAATTTTAGAACATTTCATCACCCCTTTAAAAAGCCCTTTATCCTTTAGGAATTACTCCCTCCCACCCTTGTCACTATCCCCACCAGCCTTAGGCAAACATTAAACTGTTCTCTGTCTTTATAGATTTGCATGTTCTGGACATTTCATATAAATGGAAGCATACAAGTTTCATCCATGTTGTAGCATATGTCAGTACTTCATTCTTGTTTATAGCCTAATAATATTCCATCATATGGATATACCACATTTTATTTCATCTGTTGATGGACATTTTGGGTGTTTTCACTTCTTGGCTATTAATATTTCTGCAATGAATGTTCATGTACAAATTTTTGTGTAGACTTATGTTCTCATTTCTCTTAGGTAAATACCCAGGAATAGAATTGCTAGGTCATATGGTAACTTTATGTTTAGCCTTTTTAGGAACTGCCAGACTGTTTTTGAAAGCAGCTGCACCATTTTGCCTTACAACTTGGGGGTTCGGTTTTCTCCACAATCTCACCAATACTATTTTTGATAACCAGTCAAGTGGATTTGAAGTGATATCTCGTTGTGGTTTTGGTTTGCATTTTTCTAATGAGTGAGTAATGATGTGGGGCATTGTCTTGTGTGATTATTAGCAATTTGTAAATTATCTTTGGAGAAATGTCTATTTTAATCCTTTAAATTGGCTTATTTGTTTTTTTCACTATTGAGTTGTAAGAGTTCTTTATATATTCTGGATGTAAATCCCTTATCATATATATGATTTGCAAAAAATTTTTCCCATTCTGAGTGTTGTTTTCATTTTCTTGATGGTGAGAACCTTTTCTTCTAGACACTTTCCCATTTGTGTTTCTTTATCTCTTATCAAGGAGTCCTACATGCCAGTGCCCTCATGCTGGCTTAGCTAACAAAAGTTTCCCATTTGACATTTTGGAGATTCCTCTCAGGCCCACTTTTCCCTGAAAACTCTCCCAAATTATCCTTCTATTTTTCTAGCCTCAAAAATAAAATTCCCTTTCATTTGGCAGTGGCTTGGTATGATTGAAAAACTCAGTCAGCCACCAACTGACATGGTGTGTTGGTTAAGTCACTTAATTTCACTGGTTCTCAGTTCTCTTTTCTGTAAAGTAAGTTGGTTTACTTCTGGTAATTCATGTGAATGGTAGACTTCATTCACCTGATACTTGATTTTGAAAGAAAAACTTGTTAATTGCTTTGAATTTATAATTGGTAAGATGTATGCAGTGTGGGAAATGTAGATTGGAAGAGAAGTGTTAGCTGGGCCTGCTGCATATTTGTGAGGCGCTGATGTGACTTTTGGCTATTTTCTACCATCTTATTTTTCCAAAAGTAATGGAATGTTAATAATTCATATTCTAGTGTTGTACATTTGAGAAGGGTGAATCATAGAACTGACAACTCATCATTCTACCTATGAAGTTTTCCCAGTATCTGCACTAAATAGATCCTTTGAGCTATCTACTTAGCCTTTCCATCCAGTCAGTTTTCTCTACAAACCAATTCCTGTGAATATACAGAAAACTCTTAGATTCAAAGACCCTCCTAAAATCTTGAATTTGAATAAATACCATTTTGTAGATCAAAGAGATGTTATTGTGCTTGTTCTTTCACTTTAAGACTCTTTTTAGGTGCTTGAGTAGATTTTCCTTTTATTGGTGAGTAGAAGAGACTGCTTACTACATAATTGATAAACTATAACATGAAATATGTTTTTCATGTTTTAGCACTCAATGTCTTTCAAAAGGTTCTTCAAGAATTTAGCTGTTTGCCACTGGTATGGCATTTATTTAGGATTCATAGAGTATTTTCAGAATTATAGGGGTGGCTATCTTTGCATCTCTAGATTCCTGCTAATATCCTCAACAGTTAGCACTTGGCTATCAAAAAAGTCCATAGATGCTTTTTTGTTAGAACTGCTCTGACAGGAACAGGTCATTTTATCCAGGGCAAATGAGAATAAAGTTGTGTCATAGCATGTTTTTTGAGTACTCAGGTGTAAGCCATTTTGTTTCTTTTCCAGACCTGAAGTTTTTTGTTTTCCAAATTAGTAAAGGTGTGAAAAGTAGAACTTCAGTATATTTCCTTTCAAATTTTTAAAAATACTTTTTAGGAACATGGATGAGGACATTCTATATATTACTGACAGAGTTTGTGTAGACATTTTTTAAACAAGCAGGAATTACTTTTTCTTGACAAGTTAATTTTGTTTAATAATTTTATGTTATTTATAGACTAACTTTGTGTATCGTTTATTCTCTTGATAATGAAAATTAAAATAATTTCGGAGTTTTTACCAGTAATAATTATTTGAGAGGGAAATAATCTGTATCCCACTGGATTATAAACTTCTTTGGATCAGCCTTATTACCATTACCTAGTACATCATGGGTATTCAAAAGTTTAAATGTGTGGAAAGTACTAAATTTTCATTTAGCTATTTCTCTATGAAAGGAAGGTTAACACATTTGTCTATATTAACAGCTGTCAGAATGAACTCTTTAGTCTTCACCAGCATCTTCTAACAGTGCTTCAAGAGCAAGTTAACATAGGGGGAGAAAAAAAGATTATGACATATGTCAGAGCTAATATCCTTCATATGTTAAAAGTCCTTTCAAATTAATAAGAGACGTGAACACTTTAAAAGAAAAAGAGACAAAGGACCCAAAAAGGCAATTTACAAAGAAATTAAATGACATTTATCTGCATGTATACACACGTATGTGTAGTGAATATTCTCAGAAAGATAGACCATGTTAATGAAATAATAATAGGATTCTATAAAAAGGAATATCTAGGGGTTAAAGGTGTACTCTTACAAATTAAAAATGTGAGAGCAAAGATTTAATAAAATTTGACAAATAGGAGATAGTAAGTTTCCTGAAAGTATAACAAAAATACAGTTGGGGCACAGTGCTGAAGTGTCCAATAAATATGTGTGGATTCAATGTCACCTTATACCTGTTAGGATAGCTATTAGAAAAAAAAGAAAGAAAAATAACAAATGTTCGCAAGGATGTGGAAAAATTAGGACCCATGTAAAGTGTTAATAGGATGCAAAATGTTGCATTTGCTATGGAGAACAGTGTGGAAGGTCCTCAAAAAATTAAAAATAGAGCTACCATATGATCCAGCAATCCCACTTAAGGGTATTTATCCAAAAGAATTGAAATCAGAATCTTGAAGAGGTATTTGCCCTCCTGTGTTCATTGCAGCATTATTCACCATAGCCAAAGAGCAGAAGCAACCCAGTGTCTGTCAACAGATGAATGGATAAAGAAAATGTGTTATATACACGCAATGGAATATTATTTAGCCCTAAAAGGGAAGGAAGTCCTGCCATTTGTGATCACGTGGATAAGCCTTGAAGACATTATGCTAAGTGAAATAAGCCAGTCAGGAAAAGGACAAATACTGTGTGATTCTACTTGTATGAGGTGTCTAAAATTGTCAGACTTACAGAAACAGGGTAGAATGAAGGTTGCCAGGAGCTTGGGGGAGAAAGAAACAGGAGGAAGATTTGCTATATAAATCTTTAGTTGTACAAGATGAATAAGTTCTAGAGATCTACAGTACAACATTGTATTGCTACTTGACAATACTGTATTATATGCTTAAAAATTTGTGTTGTTAAGTGTTCTTATAAAAAAATATGAATCTAACAGAAAAGAAAAAAGTGTAGGTTCAATGAATGAAATTAACCAATCAATAAAAATAATATGATAGGTTAAAAACAAGTAAACTTCACTGAATAAAAATCAGACAATTGGCTAGACTTCTGTTTTTAGGAATTCTGTTTGCCAAACTAAGAAGACTGTAAATTTATTGTAATCCCCCCAACCTGCTACTTTTTGTTATCTTTTGTTTTGTTTTGTTTTGTTTTTAAGGGATTTTTCAGGTTGATATCTTGCCTGATTCCTGAGTTAAAGTTGAAAACTAAGAATTCCTTCCTGGTAC